TGGGCAAAAGTGGGGGGCACTTTTGACCCCGCTACAAACTTTGGCTGCGGGTTCAGAAGGGAATTACGTTTATTGCTGCTCCGGATAACGGGCTGGGGAGGAGGGAGGGAGGGAGGGAGGGGGAGAAGGAGGGAGGGAGGGAGGGAAGGAGCTGCCGTCCCAACCCCATTCCCTTGCAGGCACGGAGCTCCTGGGACCCTGTCGCAAAACTCAGAAGTCACCCGCGCCCCTCAGAGCTGCCCCAGGCCCCCGGCTCAGCTCGGCACCCCGGGTACCCCTTTGCCGCGGCAGAAGCCCCCCCCGCTCTCCCTCACCCCCACCCCCCCCAGCCCCCTACAGGACCAGCCGTCAGCGGCAACACGGCCTCCCGGGTCACCTGTGGGGCACTGTCCCCCCAAATTCTCCTCCTCCTCCCTCCCCACCGCCCCGGGGCACCGGCCAGGAGCCCTCCGCCCTGCTGGCCGTCCTAACTTGACAAAACCCGGGGGGGGGTCGTGTCCCCCCCTCATTCTTCCATCCCCCTTTCTTTCCCCTGCCGGCGGTGGCGGGGAGCCGGCGGCGGTGGGGGGGAACCGGGCAGCCCCGTGCACCTCTCGGGTGCAGCCGGGCGTCGGTGTCCGGCCCCCGGAGCTCAAAACCCGGCGGCGGAGGCCGGGAGCGAGCGGGGCAGGGGTGCGAAGGCATATTTGCGAGCAGGGAATCTCGCCCTGCCAGGGAACAGCCCCGGAGCCGGTACCGGCGAAGAGGGTTTATTTAGCGTGGTGTCAATAGGTGTGTTATTTATTTATTTATTTATTATTCATCTTTCAAAGGGAGCTCTTCACCATTGCGGTTTTTCTCCGAGTTAAACGAGAGGAATAATTATGAATGGGTTTAAGCGTTGCATTAGCTTTAAGCATTTCCAAGGCAAAGTATTGGATTTCATATTTATAAGAGGAATTTACATTTGTACATTGACTCATGGTATGACGTAGGGCGAAGCCGATTTCCTCCCTCCCTCCCCCCCCGCTTCAGCTTATTTTGGTCGAAATGGGGCAAATAAGTAAACAGAAATATCACCGTTTTAATCCACGCTTTAATAAGCGCTGACCCGAAGAGCAAGATTTTGTTGAGTAGATAACCGAGTCCTCTCTCTCCATCTCCCTCCCTCCTTCCCACCCTCCCTCCCTCCCTCTCTCGTGATTAATTCAGAGACTGTAATCATGGACATTGTACATCAAACCTTTCTGCTCACGCTACAGACTCCTGCAGATTTTTATTGGTTTACATGAAAGCGAGTAAACATATTTCAGAGGATGCCCTTTCAATCTGGCTCCATTTCCACAGCACATAATTCCAAGGACAATTTGTTTTAATAATAAGAATGGATGCAGTGTTAATGGTTTTCAATTTGTGTTTAAAAAAAAACATTAAATATTTATAAGTATCGATCGAGGGTTTCAGGATTTTACAGACGTCTTAACACATTTCATAGATGGGATTTTTTTTTTAATTTAGAAACCTGCGTCGTATTCTCTTTTATGCTGTTTATTGATTTAAGCAACATCCGTGTCTCAAGTGAGAGACTAATAGATTTTCATTAAAATAGGCTCTCTTAATCCTGATTGTGAATGGATATGATTGATCCATCCAGCACACTACACATCTATAATATTAATAAAGGACATTATCATGGCAGGACTTGCTTTTCCGTCATCAGGGCACTTTTTTTTTTTCCCTCCTTGCAACCTTAAAGATTTATTTGGGAGCGGTAAAATGGCCCACAGGAGGGAAACGCATTGCGAAGAATACAATTTTATATTAGATTTTTTTTTTTGGTAGCTTCAGTGGAAAGACTTTTTTTTTTTTTTAAATCTGCAAGCCGCTGTGGCAACATATGGTGAAAATTAAACTGTTTCCCCGCAAATCTAATCTTAAAACATTTATGTTGAGTTTTATTTTTAGAAAAACATTTTTAAAGGAGAGGAAAACAATCTTGGATGAAAAGTAAAATAAAGAAGATTTGAAAGGCTATAGTTTAAACTAACAATAGCCTACTTCCCCGGCTGAGGCTGCTGGATGGGTATCGTACCTGATGAATATGTTACGAAGCGGTCGGGACAGGAGCGGCTACAGTAATTAATGGAGTGTGACAGAAATGCTAAGAGCTTAATTGTCTTTATTCCGACTTCTAGAAACGTAACCAAAGGGATACCTTAATTCAATACAAAGCCACACAAACGCTCTTCTCTCTCCTGCACGGAGGCACATGCAAACACACACGCTCACGCACACGCACAAAGTCTCTTCTCTATCACAATTATTTTTTAAAAAACGCTGCATCTTTCCAGCAACGTTAATTACTCATATATTCATTACAGGGAGCCTAGACGCGTTCAACTCCTCATCTACTTTTACTTCTGTAAAATTAAACATTCACGTGGTGAATTACAATAAGCAATTGCCTTTGTGTGTAATTAATTACAATTTAGTGGACGAGCATAATGGGTGAGTAGCCCCCTTGATTTCAGTCGCCCTGGATAACTCGACCAGAACTGGAAGAGTCTATCAGAAAAACCGCAGAAAAAAAGAGGGGAAAAAAGTTCCGAGCTGTAAAGTTTGTACCGATTTTAGCAACGCAAAATGCACACAGAGAGAATTGTTTGCCTCCTCCAGTAATGTGCGAGGGACGCTGCAATTTTGAACTCTGTAATAATGATTAATAAGTCAAAAGGGCATATTTTTCTTTTATGGTATGCAGCGCTCAAGGGAATATTCCATGTATGTCTTTAAAACGAAGTAGG